TCAACTTCAGAAAGCATGTATTTCCTTGTTGCTACTTGATATCTGCTCCTGCTGAGCCTTCTTGCTCTTCTCTAAATATTTTTTTTATTTCCTCTACATGGCTTCTTCCTTATTTGTTTATGATAACTGTTATATGAGCTGAGAGTTCTCTCTCTCTCTTTACCAAAAGAAATTTACAGAACAAGGTGAACTGTCCTGATGCAGTGCTATTCACACTGCAACATCTTTTAAATACTTAACATTAAAAGCAAAACAAAATAAATAAACCAACAAAAAAAACTACAACTCCCAACATATAATACCTGAAGGGAAAACCAGGCTTCAAGAAAAGAGGTAAAATGGAGACTTTTAAAGACACAACAATTTAAAGATTTCCTTACCAGCAGACTTTCCCTATTAGAAATGGTAACGGAAGCCTTTCAGGTAGAAGGGAAATTGTACAAGATGGAAATGAGTATTTAATGGAAGTAACAACAATATTTGGGAATGGTAACATGTAAATGTTAAATGTATAACAACAACAGAACAAAAATTGGGAGGGAAGAAATCAAATTGGCACACTCTTACTTAAGGTGAACAAGATAAAAATGTACACTACAAATCCTAAGGTAACCACTTATATAACAAAAGACAGAGTTATAGATAACAGGGAGATTAAACAGAATCATAAAACATATCCATCTAAAAGAAGATGGAAAAATAGAAAAAATGAAAAAGAAACAAAGTATTATAGTACAAATTAAAAACAAACAGCAAGATGATAAACTTGAATATAACCACATCAATAATTATGCTAAATGAGAATGGTGTAAATATTTCAATTAAAAGACAGAGCTGGAAAGACTGGATAGTAATTTGCCTAGTTATCACTAGATTATAAAAATTCAATGCTAGTATTTATATATTTAGTGAACATTTTAAATTGTTTCCTATTCCATGGGGCCCATACCTTTAGTACTAGTGATATTGCCTCAAATACTTCTCTTAAACCCTCCTCATATGACCTTGATAATGAAGTGTTGAAAGTGGAGAAGTCAAAAGACAATTAGAAGAGAGTGTGATATGTGTTAGAGCAGAGAAGTTTGATTCTTCTCTGCATACCTGGAAATAATGGTAATTCTCTTAAAATATCCACAGAATGACCACAACTTACTTTGCTTTGCTTGCATTGATGATCATTTTCACACCTGCTAAAATACATAAAGATTTTCTGCTAAGCAATTGGTCATTCTTAGTTAAGAATGGAGCAGTGTCTATGTGGTATCCTGCCAAACACACTTTTATGCATTTACTATTTATAGATTCTCACCCACTATAGCAGTAGTTTTCAACTGAGGCCAGTTTTGTTCCCTTGGGGACACTTAGCAATGTCAGCAAATACTTTTGGCTGTCACAACAAGGGTAGGATGCTACTGGACAGCTAGTGGTACAGGCAAGGAATGCTGTTAAACATCTTACAATGTGCAGGGCAAAATCGCAAAGAATCATTCAGCCCAAAAACTCAATATTGCCTTGGTTGAAAAGCTCTGAATTTGGACAACCGATTCATCTCGATTTTCTCAAAACTTTCCAAGTTTTGGTACTGAAGGTCTTGCATTTCAGGATCTCCCTGAGGTAAACTGTGAAAATGGCCACCCTCAACTTCTAACCACTAGTATTAGAAAACCAGATTTTCTGCAGTTGTTCCCTCTGGTTTGAACATTCAGACTCCTATAGTAATATGATGAAAATAATAATCAGCACGACCATATTTTGCCCAGTATTATGCCAAATACCTGTATTATCTTTTTAAATCATCTTAAAAATTATATAAATTACCATCTCTTTATTCTACAATGGAAAAGAGTAGGATTACATTAGGTAAATTGTCCAACTTACATACTGGTTACAGAATTAGAATTATCAAACAAGGTATATATAACCCCCAAGAATAGTAAGCGTATTCATATTTCTCAAGATTGAAAATATTTTCAGTGTGTCAACCTGGCTGCATTGCTTGTATTTATAAGGATAATTATCTAAATTACAAGTCAAACAAAATTATATTTGATATAAATATGGCTTTCATTTTCTGATTTGTTGTTGGTTACAACTGTGCATAAGTTTTGAGCTGGTATGAATATTCAGCTTTATTCTATGGAAAAGTATGGAATTTGAAACCAAAGAAATATGAGAGGAGATCCATAGTGAATTACTTAATTTCTCATGGGGGTAATAGGTAAATTAAATAAGGTAACCTTTCTAAAGTCTGCTATAGTATGCCTAGTATGGCAGAGAATTCCATGAGTGGTACCTCTAATTAATGCACAATATGAGGAAACAGCTTGATTTAAATAATCATAGATTAGTTTATTCATGACATTTCATTAGTAGGGAAGGAATATAATATTAATAGTCTAATACATTGGAAAGCATTTGAATATAGAAAGGATTGGAAGAAATTCAGCTTAGTTACTTATATACTATAAAAATATAACATTAATTTTCTAAAAAATTAGGAAAATAATACTCTTTGCTAAACACTTTAAAGACTATAATGACACAGAGCATACACATTGTCCTCCTATTCTTAAAAAAATCAAATGCTCCCTTGAAAATACTGTTTGAATGACAAATATTCAGTGATGGAAATGAAATATCTGCTTTGTCTGTAGTCAGCAGACAGCCAATTAAACAGGTGCAGTTCTGTTCTCTGTTATTTGTAGGTGGAAAAGCCTGGCTCCTGATGTAAAGATGCATTCAGAATTGCAATATAATTAAAATGACCAAATTATAATATACTGAATAGACAGGTGTAAGAAAAATCATTTTTTTTCTGTGTAAAGCAACAGTAAGCTTAACTTAGTGGGAAAAAAACCTCCACCAGCAGTCTAAAGTTCTCTGATGAATGAAATGGTATTTGTGAGAAAGGGGTACAAAGGGAGGGTAGCAATTGTGAAAGAATTACCATGGCCAAGCAGGGTGATTTCCTTGGGAGATGTAAGATTAAACTCTCCATCTCTGAAAAAGATTGTTCCACCTTTGTGGTGAACAACAAATGGACCAAGAATACCACATAAAAGTAAAGAGGCATGTCATCAGATGTCAATCCAAAGACACCAGAATTTCCATTGTCAAGAGCGTAGAGGAAGATGGGGTAACCAAGTTCTAAATTAGAGTGCATTCCATTCTCTTTGGAAGATTTACCCATTTATTCCTTTACTTTTTCCTCTCATATTATTTGTCTCCTTTGACTGGATTTCAAGCCACTCTGACCACTGCTTCTCTTTTTGTTTTCATTCTGGTTATAGAGAGAAGTAATTATCGAATCTGTAAGTCAATCAGGTGGATTTAGAACAAGGGCAACTTGTACTGAAATTATGATTGCTTTTTCCTTCCACTGAGGTTTATTCAATTTGACAGCTGTCCACAAAACTGGATTCAGAGCTACAATAATTGTTGAGGAGAATGAATGTGGATACCAGGACTCATTGGGGTATTTGAATACTGTGGAATGACCAGGAGAAACTAAAAAATAATGACCTCTAGGCAGGGGTAAATAATTTTGTAGATCTTATTGTTTATATAAATTTGAGGAGGGCTTTATACAAAATAAAGCACACACACACAAAAGAGTATTTAGAAGGAAATAAAAACAAGTCTAGCTGGAATTTTGGAGACTAAATTCTTTTCATGAATTTCATTCAGAGGTACTTATTTATTGCAAACTCAGCTTCTTCCCTGCCCCCACCCCCATAACTCTTTAAGTCCCAGAGATTCCTGGCATACACAGAGGCTCTTGAAAATGAGGCCTGGTCACCAAGCTCCATTGGTGGCTTCCTCTACCTACCAGAACTTTCTAGTATAGCTTATTTATTTTATTTTATTTTTTGTTTGAAGAGTCTAAAATTACTGTGAAACAAAAGGAATAGAAAACTTTCAATCTAATACTTACCTAATAGCCAGCACCTCTCATCTCTCTGGATGCTTGTATCATGCTGGGGTTTTTAAGTTCAGGGTTGTTGTCCAGGCAAGCCTCTTGCTGCCCATCACATCACATGCTCACAGCAATATCTCTCCTCCATCTCTCTCTCTCACTTTCATTAAAATATTATAGTTATACATAATATTTGGGTTCAACCTGACAAAATCATACATGTGTAGAATTCATTTTTAGTTCAAGTTATCACCTTTTTCTCTCCTTTCCTTCCTCCTCTGAATCTCTTTCCTCTACTGGTCTTCCTTTTGCTCATCTATTTATTCAGTTTTGATTGATTCTTTTTACTTATACATAAAGGTGAAATTCCCTCTGGTATATTTATATATGCATATAGCATTATTTTTTGAAATCCATTTACAATTTCGTTTCATTGTTTTACTTATGGATATCCAGTTTCCCCAGCATCATTTGTTTAAAAAGCTTTTCTTCAATGTATATTTTTGGCACATTTGTGGAGTCTCAGATGGCTAAATATATGAGCTTGTCTCTGTGTCTTTTATTCTGTTCAGCTGGTCTTCATGTCTATTTTGATGCCAATACCATATTGCTTTTGTTACTACAGCCCTGTAGTAACAAAATAATTTCTGATAAGATATTGTGATGCCTCCTGCATCACTCTTCTAGCCTCAGTATGAGCAGTAGCTCTAGAGGATCTCAGTCCTAGTGGGGCTGGGGGAGCTGGGGAGGAGGGGGAGCGGACCGCGTCTCACACTGATTGGCCAGGCCAACCCCTAGGGGCGGGCTCTTCCCCGGCGCTTGGCTGGCTGGAGGAGGCTATATTGCCACGGTTCCTGCTAGGTCGAGTAGCTTCCCCGCGCTGAGCTGGACTTAAGGAGAGGGATTCCGAGCGCTGTGTGGGCGCAGAAAGGGGAGCAAAGCTGCCAAGAGGGAGCCAGGGGCTGTGGGGCTGCAGTGCGATGAAGCTGCGGCTCAGGGAGAAGAGGCTGGCGGTGTGGCTAGACTGGCCGGCGCGGGGCCCGGGCTACTTCTCGGGAGGCTGCTGAGGCGCCGGGGCGGCCGGCGGGAGAGCGGAGGGCGCGAGGGAGGAGAAGCAGCGGAGCGCAGGGGAAAGCCGGCTAGGCGGCCTGTGGCTCCGGTTGGTCTCCCTGGTTGGGATCCCCTGGGTGGAACCATGCGGGTGGCCAAGTGGCTGACCGGGCTGCTCTACCAGCTTTCGCTCTTCATCACCAGGTCTTGGGAAGTTCATTTCCACCCCAGACAAGGTAAGGTTACCGTGGGGGGCACTTCAGCAGCAATGGGGGCCGAGGCCAGAGTGGGACATGAGTATGGAGGGGGCGAGCAACTCTGTGGGTTGAGGGACTCTGGAGCTACAGGAAATCCCGGGACTCCAGGACCATTTAGTCCTAAGCATCCCGAGAGATCTTGGTTGCACCGGATTTCGAGGAATCGCGCGCACTGGGGACACATCTTATTCCCCTGACCACGCGGCTGGGGCGCGTGGGGCAGAGTGGCGCTTGAACCCAGAGGGCACAAGTGGGTGGCGGCAGAGAAGCCAAGAGGGATCGGGGTAGGAGGTGGGTTGCCCAGGGCAATAAGTGGCAAGGTCTTTGCTTAGAACAAATTGGGGTGTGGGAAAGCAGATCATGAACAGTCTCAACAGGCGCTTGAGGGTGTGTGGGTGTGTACGCTATCGCCTGCCTGAGTGCATCTCTCCCGACCCTGGGTGTACCAGGATCCTGGGACTTTTAGCGGAGATGACTGGTTGAAGAAATTTGGGGTTGGGAGCGCATGAGGTTTCAATGGCTATATCGCTGTGGCTGCAGAAGCTCTGGTGAAAACACTAGCCTCCTACGAAGTGGTGACCCCGGCGCGGGTCAATGAGTTCGGTGAAGTGTTCCCTCAGAGCCTCCACTTCAGCCGGAAGAAACGCAGCTTTGAGGCTCTGGAACCTACTCCGTTCAGGACCCACTACCGCATCAGCGCCTATGGGCAGCTCTTCCAGCTGAACCTGAGCGCGGACTCGACCTTCCTTGCTGCCGGCTACACCGAAGTGCACTTGGGAACCCCCGCGCGCGGCGCACAGGAGCACAGCGCTGCGCCCCCAGACTTGCGCCACTGCTTCTATCGCGGTCAGGTCAACGCGCGGGAGGATCAAACAGCGGTCTTCAGCTTATGTGGAGGACTGGTAAGCTTGCTCTGATCCCTGGGCATTTTCCTGCGAGCCGGGCAGTGGGGTTTTTAGTTGACGTTTGATGACTTAGGAGTTCATGGTGGGCCACCAGAGGAATTAACATATAGATAAAGCCAAGCTAAAGGCCACTCCGTTGGGGAGAGGAGTTTGGAAGGCTTTAATGCCAGGATGAGCAAGTCCCTGCCTGCAGGCTAAAATCACGCCTCTGAGCAAAGCTGAGAGAGCATCTTTACTACAAGTGTCAGAAGATGGAGTGGTGATGGGCCTCAGGTAGTGTGGCTTGTGGGGATTGTGCTATAAGTGGAGTCTGATTTCCAACAGCAGGGCTGGCTATTTTGTTTAAATGCACCCATACCTCGTCACCTGCTGAGGCAGAACCCTCTACATTTACTTAAATTTGGTAAATTAACTGGAATGTAGAATGATAAGAGAATGAATATGTGTGGAATGAAAAGGTTCACACTGGCAAGGTTTGAAAAGAACTTTGTTTGGTTGATAGTATAGGGATGACCATTCATCTGTGAAGTACAGAACAGGGAGGAGGTAGAATCTATTTAAAATGCATTGCACCTGCAAGGTTCAAGTGATCTAAAATGACCTGCATCCTGCAAATGAGAAATGATCATTAGTGTTAGAAGAATAAAGGACAAAGATAGTTTTACTGAGGAGAAAGGAAATGAAATAAAATATTCAACTATTTGATTTGTTTCTCTCCCATTAAAACATATTCTCAGCTTTTCCCCCGTGAACATAAGCAGTCTGCTTAAGCCCAGAACCTCTTTTCAGTAATTATTTTAAACATACAACATAACATACATAATATTAAAAAGAAAGTCAATTAAATTCATTAGTCAAAATATTACAAAGCCAATTTGTGATATAGTAACATATACTTGCTTATTAACACATTAAATAATAAAAGCTATTAGTGTATTTACTACTGTACTTTTGTGGTTGATGAACGTAAGCAATTCAGATAGCTACATGAACTCTAATGTAATATGAAAGTGTCAATTTATTGTTAACAAAGCCACAATGTCTGTGATTTCACTTATAGTCATAATTGGAAGAAATGTTCAGCTATCAGAGGTTAGTGAGAATTAAGCCGTAATTTTTTTTTTTCCCATCCAGTTTCTTGGAACCCCATGTTAAGGACGTTTACTCTAAAACAGATCTTAGCTCACTTCATCAGTGACTCCCCTGAAAAAATGTATGTTCAAGAAGAATCAAGAACTAAGGGGGCTGGGATTGTGGCTCAGTGGTAGAGCGATCCTCTAGCACATGGGAGGCCCTGGGTTCGATCCTTAGCGCCACATAAAAATAAAACAAAGGTATTATGTCCAACTACTTCTAAAAAATAAATATTTTTTTTTTAAAAAAAGAACTAAGAATTTGGTTAAAGGGTTCTAGTGTTCTCAAATACTGTCAATATTTTTAAGCAAAAACCAATCAACAAACCAAAACAACCATACTTTTAGAAAGGTATTCAAAGATATTTTTAGAACATATTCACTATTTATTATATGATTGAATAAAAAATTAATAAAAGGTATCTCCAAGCCAAATGAATAACTTCCTTGCAGGTTTAAGATGTCTTCTTGGGTGAGTGTTGGCCACTACTAAGTAAATTTGGATTCTTTGCTCTTTTTCAAGCTATTATCTTGAGTTGTATTTACACAAAATGCCTTGAACGATTTCCTTCCTTTCTGCTGTAGATAAACGTAAAATATCTGCAACATCAGAATGGCAGAAACATACTCTAATATTTACACAGTCAATTATACTTCAAAGGAAAAAATTCTCTTTTCTATAGCCTTTTAAAATAATGTTTAGTTTGTCTGGAAAATCTAGATTTACTACTGCAAATTTGTCATGGTCAATATATTTTCTTGATTCAGTATTTTAGAGCTGTTTCTCAGTCCACATGGGAAACAGTATTAGGAATGATGTTTTTGCTCATTTTGATTCACAATATTGATGTAATTCAAATTATTTTTTCCATATTCCCTTTTAGAATTCATCTTTTCTTGTCACTGTGCCAGTTTAGATATAGTTGCCTAAGTCATCATCCTGGATTATTAATCCTATATTTAAATGCTATTTGCTTTTGATAACTTTAGTGATACTTTCAGGTTTTTTAATTTAATATTTAAAAATTAATTGCATACCTACATAAAGATAAAAATTTTCCAATGATATAATAAATAACAAGAGGTATCAAGATCTAAATAGATAACTTTTCAGTAGTTTGATCATAACCAATTTTAAGTCTGAATTATTAGAATTATTTTAGTGGTATTTCTTTGAGTTTTTCTATTTCTGATATTAGCACTAAAACACTTAATTACTACTTATTTGTAATTGTGAGTATTTCTAACCTGATCTAACATTAACTTTCTTTAGATGAATAGTTTCATCAAAGAGAAGCACTTTTGGCAGATTTTAGAATCGATTTAACATTATATCAGAGTCTTCTTTTTAGTCTCAGATTAGTCTTTAATCTTTATATCTGGATAAAATTGTGGTACCCACAGCCTGGGCCTGGTGTTTGTAGATAGATGTTGATATAAAGTCTAAGAACTAAATAATACCAACCTTCTGGTCCTGCTCCTCACTTCCTAACTTACCTTTGTTTCCTTGTGTACTTAATAATGGTCTAGCTTGACCAGTGTTAATCTATTAGACACTGTTTGCAGTTTGCTGAGGGACTTTTGGAGTTGTCTTATTAACTTAGAAATCTCTTCTTTCTCTAATTACTTTTTGCTTTGCTTTAGTTTTGCTTCAAATTGTGATGTTGCATTGTATTAAATGTTTTCCTGAATATTTTGAAATGAGCATTTGATGTTATTTTTTCTTGCTTTTTTTTTGGGTTTTTTGTTATTTTTTGTTTTCTTTTGTTGTAGTTGTTTTTATTTTCTTTTGGTACCGGGGATTCAACCCAGTACCAAACCCAGTGTTTAACCACATAGTCACATCCCCAGCTCATTCTCTTTTTATTTAGAGACAGGGTCCCACTAAGTTACTTAGGGCCTCACTAAGTTGCTGAGGTTGGCTTTGAACTTGTGATCCTCCTGCTTCAGTCTCCTGAGATGTTGGGATTACAGGAGTGAGCTATTGAGCCTGGCTCAATGTATGTCATACACTGTTGATTCAAGCATACATTGATCATTGATGACAACTGACCATATACAGGGCCATAAAATGTTCTGAGATATTTATATTATTTGGGAGAAAGGTGAGGAAATTGTACTGTTTTGTTCTTTAAGTTCCTGGTGATATCCTTCTTCCAAGTCTGTTTGAACCTTTCTGGTACCAGCAGCTGAATTCTGGGCCTGAGAACTTAATAGCCTTTCCTTTCTTGCTCAGTTATAGCTCCCTGGTCTTGTTGGCTGAGTTCTGGCTGTAATACCAGTTTGATTTCTTGTCAGGCTGATGCATTGTACAGTCCTAAGACACAGGGTTACTTTATTCCTGGTGCAGTATCTTCTCCAGTTAAGCTAGTTTGGTGATGCTATGGTAATCTTCCAGATCTCCCCGAGGGTGCGAAACCTTCTATGGCATTTGAGAGTTAATGCCATAAATAATAGCTTGAGTTTTCCTTTTGCCAAACTCTTTTACACCTCCAGTTTCTCTGTGTGGAGAGAACTGTTTCAGAAAATCTCTTTTGAGTCCTACATATTAAGCAGGCTAGAGCACTTCTCTTGGCCATCTATTTCAACAATCTAATATGCCTTCTGATTCTGGAATTTTAACCTACGTAAGAGACATTAGCACATAGACATCTTACCATTTCTTTCTTTGGCTTCTCTTGCCTTTTTCTTCCCAAACTCTATGGAGGACTCTTTTGTATTTTCTTTAGTTGACCCATCACTTTTCCATCTTCCCATTTGGGGTAGCATCTACCCTTCCATCCTCTGGTGACTGCTGGGGAATGTGACTTTTAAAGGAAAGGAACAAAAATTCAAATCAATACTTTGAAAATATTATCTCTGTCCAATCATTTGTTCAAACTGACACTTCAAAGTTTCAGTGTTGAGTTTACCTAAAACATGTGAACTAATGGTTTTTTTTTTCAATTTTTATATTTCATCCTTACTCTGTCACTTTTTGAAGTCTTTGTATTTACACGTTTTCTCTTTTACTGAATCACTGAACCATAACTACTGTTGTTTAGTTTTCTTCCCAAGTGTTGGGCACAACAACCAGAAAGGGCTGAGTCTACCAGAAATTTTCTTTCTTTAACATGTGTAACTCCTGCTTTCCTAGTCTTTCCTTCTCTATAGTCGTTCTTTTCCACAAGTATGAGTATTTATTTATGTTATGATATACACTTTTTTGAACAGAGATTTATTTATACATCTTCAAAATCTATGGTAGATATGAAAATGAAGCTGGATCTTAAAATTATCTATGAGTAGTGTAATAGCTAATCAACCACCATTATTAACCAATTGATAGAATATATAGTTATCAGGATTTAATATTCCTATATTTAACTGTAAACTTATATAACATTGAAAAATGTTCTTGCCAGAGTTGGAGTCAATATTTCATAAATTGTGGTGTTATTGTCATGTACTTGCCAGGATGTGATGCATACATTTTCCAGAGGTTATTCCTGACAATCGCCCTGTCATTGGTAGCTCTCTTCTCATATTACCTAGGGGTTCCCTTCTTCCAAAGTCCCGTAGGGATTAACTTGACCACCTAGTCAGCTAACTTCACTATTTCTTGGTGGGATTTGAAGCAATGCAGTCTTTTTGGTTGAAGGAAACAGTTTCCAGATGTCATAAAACCAGAAACTGCATCTGGCTTATACAGTTTTCTCAGAGAGCAGCTTGCAGTGGCTATGTGAAACTTATTTGAAGTTTCACATAGGAACCATTCTGCAGCCTGTCAGGCTCTCCTGCTCTTGGATGACTGATTATTGAGTTGCTCTAGTAATTTCTTGTTCAAATAGGAAATAAAAGTATGGAAACTATCAATGGTGTCTG